GTCTGGCTGCCACTCTCCGGCGTCTGTAAATCTGTATGTACTGTCCTTATGCACACCAGGCAGTTTTTACGTTGTATTTACGTATTTGTACGCATTTTTACGCGTAAGAACGTAAGTACCATCAGTTTTACGGCTTGAAGACCAAGCCTGCTCGCAGCGCGCAAACAGGAGCGGGGAGGCACGCCAAGACTCCCTTGCCCTTGCCAGTCATGGCAAATGCGGATTCCGATTACAGAACGTGGTACTTATATTAGAAACCAGATTCATTCCCCCGTTCGTTTGTTGGAGAAGCTTCCTCATTCTAGCCTCCTCCCGCGGCCTTCCTACTAAAATGTGTCATCCTTCCAAATGAAATCCTAGCACCCAGTGGAAATGAGAGCCGTAACACGCCCCACCGTGGCAACCAGGTCCATCAGGCGCCGCTGTGCAAGGCGGGCAATAGCAAACCGCGGCAAAGGAATACTTTGCCCCGGGAATTGTGCGCCATCCCCCCTCTGCTAGTCCGACACTGACAGCACCGGCAGTTCCTCACACACTCGCAGCGCCAACGGCCCTGTCCAAAGAACTGGCCCTTCCCTGCAGCGGCTGCGCGGTTTGTTCGCCTTGGAGTTGCCGAGGGCGGTTGGGCGGTCTCTCAGCGCAGCCACAGCAGGCGATCTGAGACAATTGGCGCGTCGGCGAGAACGGCAAGGTGAGGAATGGCATGAAATCCCGAAATTTGCCTACTTCACCAATATCCGCGCCTATTGTCGCCGTCTCCAAGTAAAATGTTTCACCAAACCCCCATATGGAAGTAGCTTGAAAGTTGAGGATGCAGTGGCATTCGCTCCGGGAAGTTGCTGGGCGCCTGTGTTTCATCGCCTGCATGGGAGCATGAGGTCAGGGCTGGCGCACGGCACCGCTTGAAGTATGGGAAAGGACGCCGATGGGAAACTGCAGCCATAGCGAGCCCCGTGAATGGCGCTCAGGTGCCGCTATTGCCTCTTTGAGTGTACAGTCGCCAGCGTGTGCCACGATGGCACCCGCCTAGCGAGTAGATCTGTAGATCTGAGAGTGCTCCAAGCATGGTGTGCGCCTGGCACCGCTCGCAGCCGCCTCGCGCGGTCTGTTTAGCATCGGGGTCCTCCAGCGACTCGTGCTGCTTCCGGGTCATCTCGTATGCGCTCCTGGGGATTGACAAAGCGGACAATTCCATTCGAGTTTGGGCGCTGAAAAGAGCGGCGTTGCCGACACTCTGCTGCCACGTGCCAGCACTGGGCCAGTCGCTGGAAGGACTAGGGGCCCTGCGGGGCATCGCCAACCCCAGTCAAGAGTGAGACCTGGCAAGGCCGGGTCGGGCTTGCAGAAAGCAGGTCCTCGGCGCAATGTCTTGACGACGCATCGCGACAGCCTGCTGCAGTCCCAAGAAAACGAGTTATCTCGGCAATAATCATGAAATAGGGGCAAGCAACAAAGTGGATATCTGTGGGTGCCAAATGATGAGAGTGGATACCTGCAGTCTGTCACCCAGTAATGTTGTGAGATGAATCGTGTGTTTGTGGCTGTCAAGACGTGACAAAAGACTAGCCTTGTGCCTGAAGGCGAATGTCAAACTTGGCGCCATAAACAGTGCTTGTTGTCATTGCACTGTTTGATCGATTCCGTCCTCACTTGCGCAACAATATGGGTAGACATCACGCACCACCTATGGCTTTTCAGTGGCGAGGTTCTGATCTGTGTTGTACTACAGTCCATTCGCTAGTGGCAACATGTCATCTGCCCCCAACGGGCAACATACCACGGGATGGAAGGGTGCTCAAACAGGCTTCAGCGAAGCTCTTCCAGTTGCCCTTCTACTCCCAGAAAAACTTGTGCAGAAACAGTATGTTTTCATGGCAAGCACAACCTTGCAATGGAATATCAGCAATGCACCAGAACAATGTGCCACTGGCAAGCAGCAGGTGATGTTCAGTGACCTTAGATTTCTAATTCTATCACAGAATACATGTCACCTAACTGCCCCAGTTTTCGTGCCTACTTTTCTGTGACCTTAGATTTTTAATTCTATCACAGAATGCATGGCACCTAATTGCTCCAATTTTCGTGCCTACTTTTCTGTGGTGTGACCCAATGCAGCCCCTTGGACATGTAACCTGTTGACAGAAGAAAGCTAAGAAAGATGCAGCATTTTCAATCTCTGGTTTTGCTTCTGCCACTGGTCCTTGCCATATATTTATATATGAAGTGCAGGTAAGAAAATTCACTTGGGAATATAAAGATATCTCCTGTTTGGTATAATAATCTGATTTTAGAGAATATTGAAAAGGTTTGGCATTTTGTTGAAAATGATAAATATAAATAAATAAATGAATGAATAAATATAAATATAAATATAAATATATACATATATTTATTTGTTTATTCATTTATTTATTTACTGTCCAGAAACAGTACAGTCCGCTCTCGTATTGTGCGCAATCGCAGAAAAACAAGACGAATTAATGCATGACATGATGCTGTATTGCATAATTCTCATTATGGCTGCAGGCCCTGCAGCTCCAAGCTCACCCTATGGATTTTTTCTGTCGACGCGAGAAGGCAGTTTTAATTAGTTTAAAATACTGCTATGCTGTAAAAATGCTCATCTCGACTTCAGTGTGTTCAACTGCACATCCATCGACTCTGGCATCGAAGAGAGACAATCTAGGGACAGCTGCCGAGGGGGCACGTTGAAATATTGGATCGAAGACACGAGTGTCATGTGCTGGACAGGCCAGTACCTGGTGCTGTCCGCAGCTGCAGCCGCGTCTCTAGAGAGAGCAATAGATCTATTGCTGCTCGTGTGTCTCGGATTTCCTGTATGGGTACTGTATCTCGTGGGATCGACAGGATCGGCGCTTAAGAAAAGGTAAGCGGAATTTTGTCGATCGCTTTTTGAAAACGAAAATGCACTGCCCATGGGCCTGCTGGACGGTACCGAGCATAGGCCACCAATGCAAATTGTATTTGCCGACGGATTTGTGTACCCCTTGCCCAGGTCGGTCGCAGAGACGTACGGATTTCTGTACCCCTTTTGCAGCGACGAGAGCAAGAACTGGGAGGCGGTCATATTGTCGCGGAAGGGGTTGCTGGCGGGAGTGTCTGTTTTCTTTTTCGCCCTGGGTCCCGATGCTCAAGAATTCCTGCCGATGGCCATCCTCTTCGGCGCGGGAATTGCCCACGCGTTGAGCTGGCCCTTCGAAACTTCCAGTCCCCGCCTTAGCCTCACGGAGATGCTGTCCATATCCTCTTCCTTTCACTAGTAGGAAACAGGCCAGATGACACAGTCCTGACACGGTCTGCTCAAAATCCAACTGTGTACTTTCGGAAAATGTGGTCCCAAAAGTACACAGTTAGTACACACATTAACACAGTTTTAACCACGCATCCGTGGAAACCGTGTAGTCTACACAGTTGGTTGAGGGCACACGGTTGAAGCTGTGTCAATGTGTGTACTAAATGTGTATTTTTGGGACCACATTTTCCGAAAGTACACAGTAGGGTTTTGAGCAGACCGTATAAGGACTGTGTCATCTGGCCTGTTTCCTACTAGTGTTTGCGGTTTATTTCCTTTGTAGCCTGTTCAGCAACCCCAACGTGGCTGGCTCGAAGACAGCGAAGGATGCACTTTCCGTCCTTTTGTTTGTGCAGGTTCTTTGAGTGTTCCTGTATATCTTCGTGCATTTGGTGGTTGAGTACTTGAGAGAGCTGGTGGCGGGAGAGGGCGACGAACCGCTGTCGAGAAAGCTGCGCCCGGTGGCGGAGGTCGTCATGAGCAAGATCTTAAAACTGTGGAAAAGCATTGCGAAACATCGTGGCATGGTTTACTTCAGGTCACGCACCACAAAATTGGATGCACCTGAACTGTACTTTGGACATTACAACAGCACTTCCAGCCTGCACTTGCAGCCACCTGGTATGGCGGGCCGCGATCGCTCCCCTGGCCGGTACGGCGACCGGGCCAGAAATGTTGCATGGAGAATGGAGGCGATTTCCCCTTCCTTCCCCCCCCCCCCCCAAAAAAAAAGAATAAACAAAGGCCAGGTTACCCCGGTGTGGAGGAAAGCGTTATTCGGGCACCAGTTGACTGGACACGCCCCTGGACATATCCGTGGGATTGCCGCTGGTGTCCAGCGCGGGGCAACAAAGCGCGCCAGAGCTGCGAGCCTCGTTGTCTCCTTCTTTGCCGGGCCAGATTGTGCCAAATCTCCGCCTCCATCTCGGGTAAGCTCGAGAGCATCTGTTTCAGCGCGGCAATGCCCAAAAGGAATGGATAAGCCGACTCTGAGGGAATGTGCAGTGCTCCTGCTGTCTCAGCGCATCGACGCTTCGGGATACGGCATCTGGATCCCCCAGTCTTGGCAAAACGCAGCGGAATGGGGACCCGTGCCAGTAAAACGTTCAGAGCGGGTTGATCGGGATCCGCTGTTGCTGATGGGCCCTTGCGGTGCCCGTTCCGTGCCCAGACCTGCCTAGGATCGCCGCAGGTACTGCGCATCCAGTGCAGGAGCTGATCGGACACGTTGTGGAGCTCATCGCCAGTCCCTTCTTCTGATCCGCGCAGGTGCAACTCCCAGGCTGCCCACAGACTTGATCTCTTTCTGGAGAGATGGTTCCAGAATTCCATGGACTTGTTGGTGGCGTGTTTCGACCCCTTGGAATTCTTCGAATTCCTTGGATTTCCACTGGGCAACACAGATCAGCAGGACTTGTCCTGGCAGTGGCCCTAATTGTGTTCTGCTGCTGTGGCTGGACAGTTTGGTTGATCGTTTGCCTGCAAACACAGCAGTGAAGGTTGACAGTCACATGGATCCGTGCTGAATGCTGTATATTTCCTCTAGATTGGCCGTTGCGATTTGTTCGTTCTGTTCACAGTGCCACCTCAACAGTAGATTCTGTTTTCACCTGGCACAGACCCTTTGTGGTCAGTTTGCAGAACGTCAGACCAGCTCGTCGGTTGCCTTCGTCACTGGTGGAGCACGATGGCAGAAGCAGTGGGAGAAAGCTCTAGTGGAGGGGATGGGCAGGTGGGCAGATTGAGCACCACTCAGGAAAATGTATGCAAACAGGGCCTGCAGCCAATGGAGGTACTTTTGAAGCTCTTTGCAGCAATTTCCATTTTCACGCTTAGCGCATCGCCAGTTTACAAAGAACATGTTGGTGTATATCTTCGTGGTTGTGAACTGGTGACATTGTATAGAAAGTTGTCAGCCTGAAGGAAATGCAAGCAGGGCAGTGAGAGATTCAAGTATCTGTATGTTCAGCATTTTCCGTGTGCTATGGGCATATTTCGTTAAGCACATTTGTGGGCCTTGTGGTGCCACTGGCAAAATGCTCGCACTGTCCAATACCAGCAAATCAGCTTGAAATTGGTGAAGATGGTGCTGCAAGATTTGGAATCTGCAACATGTGGTGTCTCATATAGCTCTTCCTTGCTGCTATTGGTGCAGTAGGGCAACATAGCACATTCAGTGGTGTCCATCTTTGTCAGAGTTTTGTTTTGGAATCTTTGTGCATCCCAATTCTCCCCTTTTTAATGCTTGCAGTTGTGTCCTTCAAATCCAAGAGGGTCCAATTATGTCACTGCAAAGTTTCCAGGCAGTGGTATCCTGAAAGTGGTGCTGTTGGCTGCACAAAGTAGCTATCACACTTGCACGGTTGTCACAAGGAGTATATACTAGATAGTTGTGGAACTCATTTCCTGCAAGGTCGTCGCTGTCAGATTTGCCAGCAACACCTGCCCAGTATGTACTTCCCAACTTTCCAATGGGTCAGGCTCCCAATGCACCTCCAAGTTACAGCCAGGTCTAAAATATGGCACATTTCCCACAAGTGTTTATATGAAACCATGTTTATTGATGACCACAAGCCAACTACTTTCCTGGAGATGCCTGCAGAAAAGTGTTTCCAGCAAACTCTGTGATGGTTTTGACAGTATTCAACCATCCATCTTGACCCAGTTGCTGCAATTCTCGACCCTTCCTCTTGCCGTACCTTGCTGGTCGAATGCACGTATTGAGTTTTCCCCTGCAACTGAAATGCCCTGCTAGAAAATGTGAACGGTGATACCCCCTGCAGCGCATGCCCTGCTGTTCGCATTGACATATGGGCAAGTGCTCGTTGTGTGGCATTCTCTAAGCATGTTCACAGTGATGTCATAAAGCAGTGACGTTCATTGAGTGTGACAGGTTGGCGCTGGGGACCCAGACTGGGGCAGTTTGTTTCATCATGTGTTAGATGGAGTGAAGGCTGCAATGACAGAGCATGAGGAGCTTGTATTCCTCCCGTGTGGCCGTCTCGTCAATCGCCACTGGAAGCAATGGGCGACGCAGGCCACCACACACCTTGAACTTGCAACAAGGCAACATTTGTGCAAGGAGAGACTTGAATGCCTAGTCAATGTCTTCACCAGACTAGAGCATGTCACCATGATGAGAGCCAAGGATGTTAATGGATCACCACTGAAGCATTTGCCACTGCTGAGGCATCTCTGGATACCTGGTGGCCTCAGTGATGTGACGCACTTGGGGCACTTCACAGCGCTCATCGACCTCGACTTGGCTCACCTTCCCTTGACATACCAGGATGTGAAAGTGGTGACTGTTTTAACGCGCCTTGCAAGGCTTGTTGTGTTGTTTGAAAGCGGAAACGGTGATGAGGGTGTGGCCAGCCTTGCACTCCTGCCTGCTCTGACTGACCTCAAGCTCACTGATGCCCAACTGTCAGATGTGGGAATGAGGCACTTGGCAAGACTGCCAGTCTTGGTAAACTGTACATTGTCTATGCATGCAACTTTGTCGACAGTTAAGGCTGAGATCCTGGGGACGATAACAGATCTGGTGGCATTGGATCTTTCAAGGTGTGCTGTTTCTGCAAATGGCGATGCGGCAATCCATCTCCAGACTCTGACAAATCTCACCGAATTGCACCTCCCGGCAGGCACCCCTGATGCTGGGCTCCAGGCCTTGACCTGCCTCACTGCCATCTCTCACATCCACATAAGTGCTGAGTGTTCAAACGAAGGCTTGCGTTCGCTTGAACTGTTTCCCTCGTTGTCTTCTCTCAACATGGTTGTGGGCCAGGATGTTTCCAATGTTGGGGCCCAGCGGATAGCATCGCTCACTGGCCTGGTCGATCTGGATCTCACAGTGACCAATGTGCGGTTCACTGGTGATGGGGTCATTCTCCTGACTGCTCTGACAGCCCTGACGGCGCTGCGTCTGACTGCAGTAAGGGAAATGACTGATAGGCACGTGGGGCACTTGGGCAGTCTGGTGGCGCTGAAGACGCTACACCTGACGGTGTGCCAAGGTATTACAAGTTTGGGTGTTGGATTCATATCGGGGTTGACACGTCTGACAGATCTTAGTCTAAGCCATGGCGCAGCCATAACAGATGCAGCTGTGGAGAAGCTGGCCAATCTACGGTCCCTGACGGAGCTGGATCTGGAAGGCTGCAGTGGAATCACGGACGCAGGCATGGATGGGTTGACCAAGCTCACAGCCCTTGCTGATTTGGATTTGAGCACATGTCACTTGATCACAAATGCTGGGGTGATGAAGCTGGCGCCGCTGCGGTTTCTCAGACGTCTCCACTTGACTAATTGCTACAAGGTGACGATGAACATTCAAGAGTTTTTACGGAAATGGTAGTGGCGCACAACAATCAGGGTTTTGTGATGGAATTGATATTGCTACTTTCTTGGCTGTGCAGTCTGTTGCCTCAGGGATGATAAGATTGAAAGTGACAATGCGATGCTGACATTGCAAATCATATCCTGCCTTGCAAAATGGTCTTGGTTGTATTGATGCATTACTGCAGAATTCTAATGCTCGCTTGTCTTTAGTTGTCACCAGGACGCCAACATTGTGGTGCGAACTGGTGCACATGACTCTGCACTAAAAGGGGCTGTCTCACCCACGGATGCGCTGAACAGCGTCACATGCGCTCGCTTTTGCCTTGCTGTGCTACATGGTGCATAGAGACACATTTTGCATGTGCATTTTGAGCCCATGTCCCAATGGTCGACGAAAGCAGAGAGGGTTAAGCAGTTGGGTTGGTAAACAAAGCCCGTCTGCTGCATGTGTCAGAGAGACAAAGATTAGGCGTGCATCGGTGATTCTGACTCATGGCTGGGGCCAGCTTCCTGGAAACAGCAACCGACTGTGCTCATTTTCTTGCAGCATCTGAGAAACAAAGCGTTGACCTTCAGGAGCCCTCTCAAAGGGACGTTGGCAACGAAACGCAGCTTCCTCAACAAAAGGGGTCCATCCTCCCCTGCCGCCCGCACTCTCGCGCACTCGATCACCAAATGCGAACAGAGATACAGGAACACCGAAGAGATTTGAAAGATCATCAGCACCGAAAGAACCTCCTTGGCCGTCCCCTGAGATCCCACGCTCGGTTGGATGAACAGGTTACCCATGAAGAACACAACAAATGAAGAGTTTATTGACAGCATCTCCATCAGGTTAAGGCTGGGTTCGGGTGTTGCAGAAGGCTGGCTCCACGCGTGGCTGATTCCCGCACTAAAGAGGATTGCCAGGGAGAGGAGCCCCTGTGTGCCGGGTCCAAGGGAGAACGAGAAAACGGAGACAGCCGCCAGCAGCCCCTTTCGTGCCAGTATGACCGCCTGGACTTGCTCTCGTTGTTGTACGAGCATTCCAGAAATCCGTGGGTCTCGACGAACGACCTGCAGTGCGCCAACAAAAAGCGGTATGGTGATTGGTGATGCCAAACTGTGGTGGCCCCCAGCGCTTGCCATTTTCTGCAAAGTGAAGAGACACTTTGTTCTTATGGTCTCGCAAAAAATCAAAGAAAGTCTGCTGTGCTCTTGGCTCAAATAATCAGGGAAGGTCTGTTCAGCCACTGACCTGTCTTTCAGCGAGGGTCCTGACGACCTTGCGAAGTAAAGGATCCAGAGTGGGAACCCCAGGTACACAAAGAGCAGCAGCGTCACCGCTGCTGTTGCGACCAGCACAAGGTGCTGGCCCGTCCAGCACTTGACACCTGTGTTTTCGACTCAGTACATTCCCCTCTTGCATTCCTGGCCAATTGATTCCACTTTGCAGCTAAGGTCCCCAGTCGTGCAGTTCAACACCCCGGCAGCATTTTCAAATGGATTGTTGAATCAAATAAGCCAGGAATCTCGAACGACTAGTGGAGGCGAGCAGACTGGTTGGTGAGCGCACAGCCACATGCATCTCACAGGGAGGTCGGACAGACACAGACCAATAAGAAGCACATCGAGGGTTGTTATGAAGTTATTTCCAAAGCTTAGCCTCATTAGCAGCCACCCACCCACCCACACACCCACACGCACACCCAAAACCCCCTTTTCCCCTCCCCATTCCCTTCCTAGCGTTGTCAACTTGATTCGAGAGCTCGCTGCAGCCCATAGTTTGTTGGGAAAGTTCCAGACCTCAAAAAGTTTTCTTCTTCTTCTGTAGATGGCAGCTTCAGGTTGAATGCTCCAACGACGTTTCCAGACTTCATTGTCTAAAGGCTCTTGTAGGCTAGTTTGGCCTGTTCTTATGTTTTCTGTACTTGGGCGATTGCGTTTCAGTGTTTCAGCTGCCCGTATTTCCTACACATCAAAAGCCCCGGTGCCGCCGTCTCGCCTCGTCTCAACGACAGCTGCGACCTGCTGTTGCAGCGGTGGGGGGTCCATTTCTTGGTATCGAACGCCAAGCACAAGGCCACCCTCTTCGGGGTTGGTTTTTGGGGATCCTGAGCCCCGACCTTGAGGTTCCCCTACGTTCGAACGTAGTCAAAATAGTCAAGTCAAGACTTGACTTAGTCATAGTCATAGTCATAGTCATAGTCATAGTCATAGTCATAGTCAAGTCAAAATATTGAAAGCCTGCGCGAGCGACTGTGCTTTGGGCTGGTCAGCCCAAGCACAGTCATGCTGATACTGTAATTGACTTGATCTCAGTCGAACATCTCTGTGAGTTTATTGCGTCTTCTTGGCTTTGATGCGTGATGTAACTTTGGCCTCTCGAACAAATGGCGCAATTTAAGTCCGGACAGGGGATGTACATAAGCGAGCATCTCCAGAGCGAGGAAGAGAGCTTACATCGCCAAGAGCGCGAGCCATGCTCCCAGGCTTGTTATTTGCGTTTAGTTTTTCGTGTTCACGTTTATGTTTTACGTTGACGTTTGTGCGTTTATGCCTTTGCATGTGAAAACGTAAATTTGCAGGAGGGGCTGTTTTTGCCACTGTATTTACGTTTTGACGGCTCATTGTGACACCGAGGTAACACGATAAAAACCGCGCACAAATATCAGTCTTCCACCTCCTCGAGCACCCGAAAAACAGCGTCGACTTCGCATTCGGTAAGGGCCACGATGGCGTGGAACAAAAGCTCGCTTTCTGCCCACTGCAGCGCGTCTGCCTGCTACTCCCCGGACACCCAAAGGCTGTATGTACTGTCCTTATGTACAAGAGGCTGTATTTATGTTGTATTTACGTATTTCTACGCGTTTTTATGCGTAAAACATAATTACGCGTTTTTATGCGTAAAACATAAAAACTATTTTTACGTGTAAAAACGTAAATATGATCTGTGTTTACGATGCAAATAACAAGCCTGCATGCGCCTTCCGTGCGTTACAATGCGTCGATCTATGGGAATATACTGAGATGGAGATTTGCCCTGACGTCGGTTTCTGAATTGTGTCTCCCGACCGATGCAATTCGGAAATGAGGGGTTCGATAATTCTCTTATCCCAGTGCTTGGCCAAAGGTGGATAGATGGAAATTATGAGCAGGATTAAAGGCAGCGAGCAATGCGGGGCCATCCCTCTTGCGGCGCAAGGGTCGGGATCATCTGCCCCGCTGATCGCCTCCAATCAATTAAAAAGTCACACCGCGGCAAGGAGCCGCACAGCCGCGGCCACCAGCGCACGGCTCTGCAGCTGCCTTGCAGTTGACTGCGTGGTTGCCTTCCTGGTTGACTTCTTGTAGTTGACTCAGTAGCTGACTTTGTGGCCGATGGTAGCATCGTTCCGACCGGCCCGCGGCGCGGCGCCCGCCTTGCGGACCGCGTTGGCAGCGCCGTCGAAGCCAACGCGACCAGGAAGCTTACCACGACCGGTCAACCGTGGTGAAGGCTACAAAAACCGCCGAGGTCGCCGCACCTACTATCCTCCCCACCATGCGCCACCACACAGCCCACTAGACCGTGAGTGGGGCGTCGGCGCTCGTACGTTTTTGGGGCCGGAGCTGAACCGCCGGTCAGCAGGGAGGGACGCCGGCGAAAGTCAGCGCCTGGAAAGCGGCCTTGCCGTGGGGAATCGCGAATGGTGGGTGGCGGAGCATGGACGGGATCCTGATAGGAAATGGCTCTCGCGGGGTTGGGGCGAGTGATGTGTGGCTCCGATTGAGGCTTGCTGCCGGTTGCTGTGGCTTTGACTGGTGGTGCCCTGGGCAAGGGGCCGAGCCGACCGCGTTGGCTGGAAGCGGTGGCTTGCAGCTGTTATGATGTGGGAGGGAGAGCAGCAGGGCGGGGATTGTTGCTGGGCGTGCGGGCCGGTGCAGTCCCACCAAGGATTGAAGGGGGAGAGTGGGAAGACGAATGCACGAATCTCCACGGATCTGCCATGCTGGCACCGCGCGCCCGCTCTCTGTGTCTCTTCCGTGGGATTCGGGAATGCGGGAATTTGGTCGCGTTGCCCCCAGTCGACGCCAGAGACTGTTGCACCACTCTCGCAATGGTGCTTCGAAGCGGGGTCCCCGTCTGGGACTCGTCGGCGTATTAACGACAGGGGAACGTTTTGCAGCGGCTGGTTCGGACGCCAGGCTGACCGCGGCCCCTGTCCAGAGTCCCCGTCCAAAGCCCTATCCGAGCAAGACATTGCGTGACGACGGAGCGGTTGCTGTGGCTGGGGCCAACGGCAGGGGTTGGCTTCTGTGCGCTTGCCCATCGCGACCTGGAAGCGCGGAGGCGTTGGGGTTGTCGGTTTGGTGTTTGGGACGGGGTGGGAGAGGGTACGGTGAGTGTGGCAAACCGCCATGAGTATCCCCCATCCCCGCAGTGTGCGTCCTGACAGCGTACCGGGACGGGGCCTCGCCGGTGAGTGGCACAGCCTGCCATCTGAACTGTCTCCGTGTGCCGCAGGTGGCCAACGCCATGAATTCCGCAGTTCTCTTCGCCCTCCTGGCCTTCGTGGTAAGTGCGTTGGAAGAATACTCAGCGTAGTTTCCCCAAGCCCAGCGCGCCGTGCTGGTGTATCCTTGCGACCGTGGAATGGCCCATTCGCGTTGACTGGGCGGTCGCGGTTCCTTCGCACTGATGGTTGCCCAGAGATACTACGCCGTTTCTCCGAAATACTTCTCCTGTCTCAATCTGCCGGGCTCTTCCGCGATGGCCTCTGACATCGCCTTGTGTGCCGGCAGGCCTTCGCTGAAGCAGGTACGCAAAGGTCCCGCATCAAGGGGCCGACGCTCGTCTAGGAAGACGGCACTCTGGGAGACAGCAACTGCACCACATTGGCGTTTAGGCATTCATGCCAGAGCATCCATAAGCGTTTATGGAAGGGCCAGAGATATAACTCCGTGATTTTGATATAACTCCGTGATTTTGAGTCTCAGCGCACCTGGGTCTTGGTTGTATTGCAATCGAAGTTGCAATTTTTCACTCCTCCATTC